CTTTCATGGGTGTCCGTAGTCGGTGTTATATCTAACGACATAAGGGCTCTCCAGAAATATCCGAATGGACCAAGTGGATCACTGTTTGCCTGGAAATTGCTCGAGTACGGAGCCCACCTTCATGATGAACCTTCTCATCAGAGGAAAGCAGATGACCACGAGCGATGTTGACAGCCAGGTTTAGAAATGCATTTGCTACACATGCTTACCTTTATAAGTATCTTTAAACATGAAATTTTCTTCCTTCCACGAATAATTGCTCACTTTCTCAGGGTAACCTTATAATTATGAAGCGGTGCAAAAACCGATAAACTGTTCTAAAAAATTCAGAAAAATGCAGCTGCGGCTAAAAAACGGAAACCTAGGTTATTCGTGCTGGGGAATCCGTTCATGATGCTAGAAAAAAATCCTTAATGATTGCTTTTCCTGAAAGTGCAAAATTTGAGGGTGACCTTATAATTATGAAACGAACTGTACTGTTACGACCGACGTATTAAACGCATACTTTGAATATTGGAGTACAAGTGCCCAGTTTTTCCAATTTACAAGTGCCCAGTTTCTCCAATTTTTTAGGTAATCAAAAAAAGTTTTAAGAAATTGACTTTCTGTATACTCCCGTTCCTTTCTTCCGCCTTTGAATGACGTTGTCGAATTTACTTTCAATTGCTGTGTGTACCACTCTCACAGAAGAATTGGCATCGGCCAGTTTCCGTTTGGCCCCTAAATTTTATATCACAGCTTAGGGAAGAGGTCTCCGATTTAATTAGGATATACCTTCTGTCAAAGAACTATTTAGTCGTCCAATGATTTCAGCTCGACCTTCATCTGTCTTTGCTAGCGCTGTCACTACTTCATCAAATACGTCTTGCTTGTTGAAAAATATCAAAAGTCCACAGTTCTGGATTGCATCCGCGCAAAGAATGCGCTGTAAAAAATTGTATAGTTGTTTGCAAGGATCCCAAGAAAGTGAAAAGATTTTCTCACGTCGAGTATTCTGATGCTGCGTTCCATTGCTGTTCGACTCTCTTCTTCCTCATCTTGTACGTTAAAATCAGCCATAGATGTCACAAAAAGGATGAAGTTCATATAACCTTCTCTATCTGCTGCTAACCACTGCTGCATAAACTCTGGTATTTTCATCTGGAATTTCTCGGTTTTTGCTCTTTCTGTATTTTTTTTGTGGAGTATTAGTTATGAACTGGAAGGAACAGAGAGAAAGTACGAGCTGGGATTTAACAAAATTAAAACTTGACCTTTTTTTTTGCTTATCTGTGCCCATGCTTTTTTCTAAGGTCGGTTTGAGAAGTTTTTCCAATTTCTTCTTTGCAAAATAAGAACGTCAAGAAAATTTCTGGTCCTCGTCGTTAGTTAAAAAGCCCCGAAACTGTTGTGAAAAATTGGATGCAAGTGAAGTTGTTGGTTCAGTTTTTCATTCCTCGTCTAATGTTTGAACAGATCCTCTAGAGGGGTCAAAGGTCAAGTGCACCACTGTAGAAGCCAAACGACTCCATTCCATGTGTATCAATTACATCACTGGCTAACACAGGGAATCAACATTTCGTTTCTTTGACGGCAAAATATGATATAGATAAAAACTTTCCCTACTGGATGGGAACGAGGAAATTTTAACTTGCAACTCTCACAGTGTTTCACTTACCATTTCTGTTGGTTGACCACCCATGTCGTGAATTTGGATATACGTACCGTTGATGCTGAATCTGAAGTCTTGCATATCGGTCGTTGGATACCTGAAATACCGGTTGTAGTTGGTTCAACAGGGTAGGTCCAGGAAAACTGGGGAGACGGGCAGCAGGATCCGTTTTGTGTCGATCGATCCGCCGCACGCGGCTGTCGCGGACCATTTGCCTCATTATAACAGTTCTAGCGTTCTTCATACAGCTCATTCGCTATGCCATTATTACTTATGGCATGATTCTACTGTTAGTTCTTTTGTTCCTCAATTTCTTACTTGCTACTGCATTCTTTCACGCGCGGCGTCTCTCTCGCCGCGACGCGATAATTTCGTTCCTACTGCACCACATCCGAAAAACTGGGATCAGTTAGGCAAGTTACTAAATCGAGAATTATAATTTGTATGAATTCTCTTGGGTCTTTCGAGCCGAATTATCTTCTGTAGTCCTTAAGGATTAGTTACACGTCACGGGATCGCATTGTTACTCCGTTGTCACTTTAGAAAATGGAAAGATACCTTGCGTGAACGATGTCAATCGTAGACAATTCCGCATTGTCATCAAACAGACGTTTTATTTCTTTTTCTGATAGAAATTTCAACGTTCCATCTTCGATTCTCCATTTTCTTGCCATTTTGTGGTGTTTTGCCAGTGTGTCCACTATCTGTTACAGAATTTTTCAGCTTTTCTCCTATTTTTACGGTAATACAAAAACTAACGTTTGGATCCCGTAATACTTCAATTAAATTATCTCCAAGTGACGACGGGACATCGACATCAAAAATGCCCTTTCCGTCTTTGACTGCATTATCAACGATGGCCAGAATTGCTTCTACGGTTTTCGAATTCTGGCATTCATGACCCCAATCGCTTGCCTGCTGAAAACAACCGGATGTTGATAACAAAATAAGATGTCCCATAAAAGAAATGTATGCAAAGGAGGGGGCGTAAGACTGTTGGACAGACGTGGCGGCGTAATGTGGGCTTGATAAATAATGCCGCCCTCATTTGCAGTGAAACTGTAACATCCAATCCCATACATATACCATCTAAGAGATTGTGCGTATTACCTGAATGAGGTTATAAACGGCTGTCATTATATTGTTGCGAATGATTTTCCGGAATCTGTGCATCTCTTCATCCGAAAATATTCTATCGACTGGGATTTCATTCCATTCTCGGTCGAAAACCTGGTGAAAAAAGACCATTTGCTCGAGATAACAGCGCAATTATATCGATTACGATGTGAAAAGTTGCCTTATAATTCCTTGAGCGTTCCTTGCATAAGCACTTCAATTGTCGTATCACAGTTGTCTTACCAGCACCACCTGTACCAATCATAAAGAACCGAACAATTTGTCGATTATCCATCTGAATGAGATTATACTTTGTTGCTTGTTTTCATTATTTATTTATTTATTACTATTTTCTATATGACTGACCTACCTGAAATTGCACTTCTTGGCTGCAACATTGGGATACTACGGAGCCCATTTGACGACTCAGGAGACCAGTGCAATGACGGCATTCGTCAATGTACAGTGATAAGGGAAGAATTGCGGCCACCATCAGAGTTATCAGAGAATTACGTGTATTGTGTGTAACTAGTGACCTGCACAGTCCGGAGGAACGTTGTGTTCCTTCAGTTCCGGTTATATGTGACGGTTCGTACTTCTCCCCTCGAAGTTACCCATCTGTTGCACAACACCACTGCTCTAACTCTTCCTCTTCCCAAAACTTTTGTCGCCCATTTTCCCCTCCATTTTAAACAATCAGGATAATGCTGCTATCACCCAAGTGGGAATGTGCCGTAGTGAAATATCAAGGAGTGTGTGAAATATTCACGACAGGTTTTTCTAGGATTTTTTATGCCGACAAAACATTTGATTCCCAGTATGCTTCTATCGCTTTCCAATGTTTAAAGGCAAGCTGACTTAGTTGGGACGATTCATTAGACATGTTGAAGGGCGTAGCGTCCCTTGGGAGTTGTGTGCGAAATGAAAAAATTGTCTCAGAGGTCCGTCCGTTTTTTAATAACCTGTTTTTGCAATTGATATTGTCTTTATTTTAATAAATTGAAATTTTTCCAATAAATTCCCTGGATAGATATGTATGTAATAGTTGCTTGCTCATGCTTACTTCAATTGTTTTTTTCGAGTCACATTGTCATCCCAGCACCCAATTGGTGTTTCTGAGTGTATAGACCGAGACTTGGTGTGTCTGATACCAAGTTGATCCCAACTTTGTCGCGTGGATGTAGAACTTTTGTCCGAGCTTCACCTTTTTTTCTTTGCACTCTGTTGGAAATGGAATTCGTTGGAAATAGAACATTTTGACTTGTAGAAATTAGAGAACTCCATTGGTTGTAGGCAGGTCGTGTTTTACTTTCTCAAACCAGTCCTAAGCTCTAATTGATGCATTTTCTCTTTCGGGAGGAATACTGGCTGCTACATTGGTTCGGCCTTCATCTAGCTCCTTTATTATTTGTGCTGATTTATGAAGTTAACTTGGCTACTAAGATTTTTTGATTCAAATTGATGTTGCTTGTTAAGTTTGTTGATTTTCAGGTTGCGATTAAGAACGATCTCGATGTGTTCTATTTTGCCTGCATTGTCCCACTGTTGGTGTTTTTCCACGAATCTGGTCAGATGGAGAAAAGAGAATTTTTGGATATGTGGAAGGAAATTCCTGAACAGAACGAACAGCAATTTGTCATTCAGAACACTCAAAACTTATCTGCTGGTTGGTCCTTCTCTCTTTCTGCTTTTTTGACCCCTTTCGCTGACCCCCTTGTCATCATTGTCATTTAGTGCATGCAGCAAATAATTCCTGAGAAGGCTGTATATAGTGCTTGATAACAGGGACGGTTATTCGATGGTTACTCGACTTAAATAGTTTAGAGCTTAATTTTGTATATCCTCGTCCAATCTCGATATTATTTCCCTTTGATTCCGTTCATTTTGTAAAAAAAAAATCAAAAGTTAATTATCACTACGGAAATTAACTTGAATTCAGATGCGATTTGTGCTAAACTTCAACAGAATAATGTGATGACAGTAGCGAGACGAAGCGTCGAAGGACAGGAGCTATTGTACCACTCGATAAAATACACAAACAACATTTTTGTGCTCAGCGAATTGAAAATCCATCAGGGATCCACTGCTCTTACCGTACGTTATCCTTTTTTTTTGCTACAAGTGCGCTGCTTTTTTCATCTTCTTTTACAACTGATGATAAATCATGTTTAGCTGTCGTTGAAGTCACGTCATGTTCCAGCAGTTGCCAACATGAATGAGATGTTCCAGCTGATTCTCAGCAATTAATTCTGCTTCTGAATAGTATTGCTTCTTCCTGATGTGATTATTGCATATTCTTAGTCTTACAGAAGTCCTAAATTAAATAATTTCATTCAAAGGCAGAGTTCACTTAATTTTGAGGTTCCCAGTTAATGTGAAATAACGGAAGTTGTGGTGCGGAATGTTGCAAAAGTGGCGAACGGAGCGAGAATGTTAGTGGATTTTGAGGGCAAAGGCTTCAAAAATTAGTAAAAGAGGCCATAGGATATTAAGGTGACAGTTTTGGCATGAAATGAGTATTGAAATGAGCTGCGAGTTGTGTGCCATAGCTTATAGCTGGCTAGATTAAGCCGAAAATGTCAACAATTGCAGCCTGCTGTCGCTTTGGCTTTGCCATGACTAACATGTGCGCTCCATTGTGAATAGTGCAACCTATTCGAGCTCTTCGAAACACGGCCACCTTTGGGTGTGGCATGCAAGCAATCTTTGGGCCCACTTGCGCAAGTTTTCCGATCTGACAGCGCTGCATATGGCATTTTGGGGACAGATTAATCCTGTTGCATATTTCGGAACCCATTAATGTGAACTGTGTTATTGAGCTTGTCAATTTCACTGAATTATTTAAATAAGGTCAAATCTGCGATGTGATGTTGATTTACCAAGGTTGTTGAGTAATAAATTATTTACCAGGTTTGCAATAGGCTTGTGCACAAAATTCGAGCTGTATAGGTTGTTTTCCGAAACTTCTTCTCAGAAGGCGCCCAGACCATCGTGTTTTCTGTTTCCGTGCTTTCGGTTGAATGATCAATATTAATGGTTGCTGTGACGTTCTCGTGCTTAACTCGGCCCATTGAGTCCATCAGCAGGCTCGTCTCAACATAACTGTATCGGCTTTGTGAAGGGCCTTTCATATTTTTGCAGATGCTCAAATACCCACAGCCTCAGAACATCGTAGGCTTGGCTCCTGTTCCGTAAACTGGGGTCTTACAATCAGAGAACGCCGATAAGACGTTGGTCGGATTCCTCCCAATTCATCTATGCTGCATAAATTCTAATCTTCCCTGCTTGATCCATAGTGCCATCGGTGGCTGTATCGTCCCTTAGGTACTGGAAGCCTTTTACTCTTCCACGGGCTGCTCCCTTGTCTATGATTGTCTAAGACAGGCTTCGCATCCTAAGCAGCTCAGGTGCTTGGCAGTTTTCATATTCACTCGTGAACCACTCTGCCAGTTCGTGCTGCCATTTGTACGCCTTCTTGACATGTGGCAGTTGCCAGCTGTCAGCGTTTGCCCTAAGTTTACTTCTTCGTGTTTTGTAGTATAACTTTGTTTATTTTGTCCAAATTCACGCGATCACCGATTCCTGTAGGCGCTCTTCAGATGCATGAAGTACAACTGTTTCAAGTGGGAATTTGAACTACCTGGATTCGCCTGAAAAAAAGGAAACGCGGTAGACTAGCTGTCCCTTCTTGGTGCGGATGCTTTTTACTAAATAAAAATACGAAAAATACGAAATAAATAAAAATAATACGAAATAATACGAATCTTAAAAAAAACCGATGTCAAATGCAATTTCTCTCATTCCAAAACAAGCGACTATTAAGCTATTTGCCTATTTATATATATTTATTATCTTCTAATATTTATACTTATAGCTTTTTTCTTTCTTTTTTTTTCATTCATCATTATCTTTCTTTCCATGATGATTTAAACAATGCGGCGACACAACGACGAGGTAAATCACCGTGGCGAATAATTCATGTTAAAAGCAATGGTCTGTAAGATGTGTCTGTGTCTCGAAAGTTCGTAAATTTCACGGAAAACGTTGCTGGCTTTTTTCAAATTTCCTGGATCTGGTTGCTTGCCAGAAAATAATGTGAGTTCTTTTGCTTAAGCCCGAGTTAATACCTGAGTTTTGCGGATGAACTTTCAATGGATGAAAACTAGTTGTGTAACTTTCGAAGTTGTACGAATGAATAATTACAAGAAAGATCTGCTGCAAACAATCCGAGCTGTTAGGTGTTAATGTAGTTGGGGTCAATACTTTAAGAAGTAGGACCATCATAAATTAGGACGATAACTCTCCCCTAATAAGAGAACGGTGTAGGTAAATTGAAAGAGCAAGAAGGTGTCTGATGCTAAAGCGGACAAAATCCGCTTGCATCTAAGGCAAAGGTCAGTAAAGAATAATACTTCCTGCTGTCTCCCCTATTTCTGCATATGTTTATGAGAGAGAGCATGTCATAATGGTACCGTGTCACAGTCGAAGGGCGGTATGTAAGGCGGAAGATCATAAGTGTAAGTATAGGTAGGAACTCCTATTCGTTACTGACCGTCGCTCGAACAACTGGTGGCTTCTCATAGTCGCGAGGATAGGACTGATCTGCGGTAAATGGCCCAACTTGCAATTGCGTGACGACTTCTAAGGTCTCGAATTTCCGTAGGGTGGTTGAGACATGTGGTCGGACAGTCATAAATTGCTGCGATATTTACAGACTCTGAAGAAGGCGATCACGCCGATACGTAAGCCAGAATAAAGAATTGTTATCATGCTCGTCCAAGATCAAGCAGAGAAAACCAACGTTTACACTAGGCCGAGGTTTAGAGATAACCGTGCATGGCGACAACGGATTTTATCCTTTAGCCTTGGATCCTAGTGTGTTGCTTCTTTCAGCTGTGGGTCGTCTTCGACGAAATTCGGAAACGACTTACTGAAGGGAATTAGCTCTTGTTGAATGACGTGTAGAACATCTTAGGTTGCGTTCAGACTTTCAAAGAGGACGGGCAATTACGTTTGAACGTCAGGCCATTGGAATTAATAAATAGTTGCAGCTTGCAGTGCTCAAGAGTAGTACCGTGTTAAACTATTATATCAAGAATTAGACAAGAGAATGAGATGCATAAGAGCCTTCTGCTCGGGAGAATCTCGCGCTTTCGCAGGGTTCGCAATTCTTGTCAGCCGCCTCCATTTCCTTCTCTACGCGGCATCTTCTGCCGTTGCTTTGACTCTGGTGAGGTCTTTCTTGATCACGTCTCTCTAACCCTTTTTCGTGGCTTCTCGTGGTTACCTCGAGTTTCGAATTCCACTGCTATCCTCATCGGATGATTCTGTGACTTTCTTGGTACATGTCGTACCATCGCAGACGCTGCTCTCTCATCTTCAGCTGAAAAGTCTGTTTGCGTGACCGCTCTGACGTCTTCGTTTGTGCTACGGTCCAGTCGCGTCCAACCGCAGGCCCATCTGAGCGACATGGTGCACCGCCGATCGCAGAAGATGCAGGTGGACTCCTCCACTTCATCCATTGCAAGCTTTCACAGCCTCATTCACCTATCAGCGGATCGGTCACTCCCCAAATATCAGGACTCTCCGCACCCGGTAAAGGATGGTCATAATTAGTACATCCTGAGCTCTTCTGTGTTGGAATCCATTGCCAGTATTAAGAGGAAGTGATAAGGTGGTACTCAAAAGAAGGAGCTGGTCCTTGATGTACCCGAACCGTGTCATCTGCTTCTTCTAAGGAGGAGAAAGGACTTGTCGCACGAGGCGGTCGAAATGCTTAAGAACGAGGAATGTCAGAGAGCAGGGTCTATGCTTTGATAATTTTTCATCACTTGTCAAACTATGAAGATGGCATCCCCTGTAGAGTTTTCTAGCCAACGAGATCGTATTCGGAGCCAACCTATTTCCACGGTCACTGGAACACTCATTGGACACCTTTCCACTTGAAGAGAGGACGGCACTACTATTTCTTCACGCGTCTGGCATCCTTCCTGAGTGATCATAATTTTCAGTAGCCACCTAATGCCGTGCTTTCCGAGCGCCTTTCCTGCCTTAATGTACAACATCCGGACTGAATACCTTCCTAACCTAACACTCCCTATTGGCCAAACTCGCTCCACAGACCTCCGCTTTTGTCCAGAGTGCGATGAAACCGGCCACCACCTCCACCTAGGAACTGTACTAATGGAATTCTTCGTTCGAGAGCCCCTCGAAGCATTCTTTCCGCCTACGTCTAACTCAGCAGGCTTCACCGTTGCACCGTCGCTGTTCTCTACTGCCTTCATTACAGTGCGTATTGAGTAGCCTGGTGCCGTACTTCGGCAAACCGGAAGACTAACTTTCCTTCTTTTCGACCATCGAGCTTCTCCAACAGAGCGTCGATTTCTGTATCCTTTGCCTTTCCTACGGAAGCTTTGGCGAGCCTCTTGGAAGTTCCGTAGGCAGCTAGCTTTTCTGGAGCTCGAGTTCTTTGCCAGTGCTCGTCTGACTCCCTTGTAACTCGCTTGTGCGCATTGCAGGCGGCTTTCAGTGTTGCTCCAGGTCTGCTGGACGGCCCTTGGGGATCTGGGAGAGCCTTGGGAAGCGGGCTGTTTAGAAAATATTTGCCAGGCAGCACTTGATGTCCTTCTCAGTTTTAAGAGAGCTTTCNCTTTCCTTACGAGCACGTGGTCCATTTCCGTTTGCTTCTCTTCACTGTTGTAGGTAGTCTTCTGAGATTCCCTTTTCGTGAAGAATGTGTTGCAGACTACTAGTTCGGTCGCTGTGGCCAGGTTGAGGACCCTCTCTCTTTCGCTTCTAGCCCTATTCTTCCACCGCAGTGAACACTTTCTAGGCCCGTTCGTTGCCGACGTGGCCATTTAGATCCCCAGCTATGATGAGATAGTTGCCTTCTGCAACTGATCTGATGTCAACGTCATGGCTCAGGTAGGACTCATCAGTACACGCACTTGTGAGCGTTTATTGTAAGGTATAAGCTTTGTAGCAACTGATATCAAAAAGAAGAGAAACGGCGTTCTTCTACCAGGTCAGAGATTGATGCGTAGTGGTAATTTAATGACAAGAAAACAAATTTTTTAACCTTGTATTGTGCGCCTTAAATCGGTACCTCACACTGCAACTACCTCTCATTTTTCGTTGCCCTACTATACCGTCCCGTCTTGAGGTATCAAGTATAACAAAGACTGGAGGCCAAAGAGGTTAGCTATGTGGCTTCTGTTCCTCAAGTCCACTAACAGTTTTTATCAGTC